TGAAGAAATGAGATCTTGTTTTCAGGTTAACATTTCTGTAACTCACCTCTTGAAGGCAGACATTGAGCATGGCAAGTCTTGGGTGGGTGACTTGGAAGAAGTTGAAGACGTTGGTGTAGTCGTCAGAGTCCATGTCGACACCGTTGACGTATCCTTTGTTCCAGTTCTTTGGGTCCGGCATATAGGAGCAGAGGTCGTAGATTGGCTCGCTGAGTGTGTGCTTTCCAGAGAAGTTGTTTCCAGCAATGTTCTCCTCGATTGGCTCCCAGCACCGAATCTTCTTGGTGAGCTGCTCATGAGCATCTTGTACAGTGTTCTTGGCCGATGGGCGGACACTGAATCCCGAGGTGGCGACTGCCAAGAAAGAGAGGACAACAGCAGTTCTGGAGAACATGGTAGGACGTCAAATGAGAAGGAGTGAATGGGACTTCGCGGAAGGGTGGGACTGGCTCACAAATACGAAGATTAGTGCTCAGAACGCTGTTCTTAAAAGGAGCCGAAAATGGGCGGAGTCTCTCTTGAGCGAAAGATAAAAAAGAGGGAGGCGGGGCGACGTGGAGAAAGGACAGCTCTATGCTGTAAAAATTGTATGAGAAGAGTTGTTAGAGAAACATGGGAATCTGAGTTCAATCCCATGGGCAGAGAAAGTTGTGAATGATATCAAGAATCAGTTTGATTTAGGTATAAGCTGCAAAAAGGGCAGGAAGATCAATGAAGCATTGAGATCTAAGATATTTGATTAAAGAGAGCAGTTCCATTATAAGATAAATGTTATGAGATGGTTTGGAAAGTGTAAGCGGCTGTTCGTTGAATTTATAGATCACCATGCATCCTGTTTTTCACAAAATGATAATTCAAAAACTGCATAAAAACTGTAAAATTCTTAAAAGATTGAAATCTTTGCAAATCTCTTTTGACAACCTAATTCTATATTAAAAATTACAGTAATCCCCACTTTTTTCTTTCCATGAAAAATTTGAGAAATGTAGCCAAATTTAAAGTTTGAGCCTTTTTTTCCCTTTTCTATTCTTCCAGGAGCTCTTTCATTTTTTTATTGATTTTGCCAGCCCATTTTCAGTACGTCCCGAGCATTCGGAAAAAATTCCACTCGCTCAGCCGTGCCATGAATATGCCTGGCACTCGCTTCTGGCTTAGCTTTTGTTTTAAAAAAGGATTAAAGGGGGAGTGTGGTTTGAGGAGAACAAAAGTTCCGATCCTATCCGGTTCAGTCGTTCAGTTGAATGTAAATCTCCGGAAATTGATTGTGGAGTTTTCTAGAACCTAGACATTCCGGATTTTGAAATGTCTCTGTGGAGTTTCCTGTTTTCAGCGCTGTTGGGACTGATAATCTAGAAGAACTATCAAAAACTGCGAAATCTGCAAAACGAATCTTGAATGTTCTTGTGCCAAACAGTCGGATTGAAAATAATACGGGACAAACGAAAGAAAAAAATTAATCCGATTGATAAGGGCGTCTGATATCAGCGTTGCCAGTTCGGTTTACAATATTCACATTCGACAATTTCAAAAAAAAACATCTTTTAGTGCCTCTGTCTATTTTTTTAACAGAAACGAATTAATAAGTGACACTGCTTTTACTTTTTTACTCATCTTTGCTATGTATATAACTTCAATCGTACAGTGAAATTAACCGTTAGATAAGAGGAAAGAAAAACTGAACGATTTTTCTTTTTAAGCTCCAAGTACGAAATTCTGGTTTGGCAATTGTACTTAGTAGGTTTGTATTCAGTAAATTTGTATGCCGTGCCATCCCTTCTGTTATAATATGACAAATAGCATAAATAATCCCACCATATTAACTTTTCAGTTTTTGTTCCGTACCTATCACTGACGTTTTTCCGTTTAATTAGTTCATGTTTTCTACTGTATAATATTATTTCCGGCTTAATCTTCTATTGTTTCTCTAGTGGGGATTATGAAACATAGCTTCTGTATTGACATCACACATCTATATGAAGATGGGAAATATGTGCGCAACATCATGTATTGATAATCTATTCTGACTAAGTACATCCACAGAAAACGGATTGATGAGAAGGACATGATCACAAAGTAACATCGAAGTTAGAAACCATAAATGAAATATGTTTTTTGTGTTTTGAGATAAAACATTTTGGCAAGCTGTCAAATAAAAATTGAGATTCAGAAACTGAAAAAAAAGGATCACCTCGAAGTTTGACTGAAAAATCCTTGTTTTCAATTTTTCCTGTTTTTTTTTTGAAGAGTTTCAGATATTTTTTTCAAACAGTGTCCGAAAATTGTTCATGACACATTTTTAAAATTCGAACACAACGCGAGAAATAACAGACTTGTCAAATAAACTACCAATTTCATTGTTTTGATGGAATATGTATGATACCTAAAATGCTGTATGCCAGAAATAATACGCTTCACAAATTCCTTTTCATTTTTCTCACTTCTCTCTTCACGTTTATCCCAGGGTCCACCGTTTTGACAGTATCATTTCTCTGTTAGTTTACACTTGGTCCTATACTTTCGTAAAGTTGAACGTCTGAGTCTCGCCGGAGAAATTTTTTCCGATTAGCAATAAGACTCCTTCAGGTTTACACAAAACATCTAGCAACTGTGGAACTTCGCATAGTTTTGCTGCATCAGTGAGTGCAGTCATCGGGCAATGGAAAACGAAGCAACTGACCGCATGTCCGAAGCGTGGGGGCACATGTCCGTTTGATGATAAGAGCACTTGTTTTTCTGTGCTCTCTTTGAACTATGTGGCAAAGTTTAACAGGATTTTTTCTCAGAAATTGGATGTTTTGAAAACTGAATAAAACCCACCGGCACTTCGTTGGTTTTTTGGGACGCGTCTGATTCCTGTCGAAAACATCTTACATTTAATAAAAACTTTGGAATATTGTCTCAAGAAAGTGTTATAAGTCTCAAACAGTTGATATTAAAATCAGCAATAATGCCTCCCATTTACATTTTCTGTACTCTTGACAGACACTGATCATTTTTCAATTGGATAATGAAAGTATACAGCCAACCCTAATTTTTTTACGTCACGACTTTATCATACGGTTCCATTTTGAAATGAACACTTCAATGAACGATTCCGTACGCAAATGTAATGAGTAAAATGGCACGAGCTTCTTGAGAACACAAAATGAACTGTTTCGGTTACATCAGTATGATGAAATGAGAAAAGAACAAAGAATAGGTGTCATTAGCAGTATGAACAGCGGTAACATGAAAATATCAAAGTATAAATTTCTTAAATATTTGAAAGGAACAAAAACCATTTCCATTCAAAACTCCTCTCAGTGACCCAAAGATGAAAAATTCTGATTCACACACGTTTTTCGACAGTTTATATCAAAAACTTGTTATGAGAAAAATTACACATTTGAAAATTCTGGATTTATCACAGTTTATCCCATGACACCTGTGCTTGAATTGGTGGTAAAACAATGCTATAAGTAACTCGAAAAACACCAGCCTCATTTAGAAGAGAAAAATCTAAAATCTGGCAAAAAACGAGTTCAAGGAAAAATTGATAACGTAAACATTCAGGTTTGATAGTGATGTATCTAAAAGGTTGATCCCACCAATTGTCTGAAAATGCAACATTTCAGACTCTTCTTTCCCTATATCAATTGCTAGATTTTTTTATTCTGCCGCTTTGCAAAACGTGCCATCTCAAATTCACATAGAAAGGATGTTTCATGTAACATCTCATATTTTGATGTATGATCGTGATCATGCTGTTCTGATAAATGGTTTTTCATCATCCCATGTGTCAAACTGAAACTTTTTGGATACACCAGTATGACGAAATGAGAAAAGAACCAAGTATATGTTCATTAATGGTATGAACAACCACAACAATAAAATAAGAAAACGAAGGGATTCGAAAAATTCTATCTGAATGGACTAGCTTGTATTATGGAACTAGTCAAGAAGTCATGTTTTCATTTAATTTTTCGAACGACGTGTTAGAAACGTATAATGATTTTTTGAACGGGGACTAAATTAACACGAAAATGAATTTTTCATGTTAACCCTCGAATTGCGATGTATCATTACGATATTGCCTTCTGATAAATGATTATTTATAATACCGCGTGTCAATTTGGAACATCACCAAGTTCTTATTCTCAACCCTCTCATATGCTCACTGGGCCTACTTTAAATTTTTGCCAAGATTCTGAAAGTTCAGTCTCTTTTCTGTGTATCTATACAGGCGGAGTAGATAATCATGGAATTATATTGCCCACATCTTCCCTCTCTTTTTTTAGATGTGTGATGTCAGTACAGAAGTTGTGTTTCATAATCCCCACTAGAGAAACAATAGAAGATATAAGCCGGAAATAATACTATACAGTAGACAAGCTCGACGTCAGGAAACGGAAAAAAGTTAGTGATAGGTACGGAGCAAAGACTGGAAATTGAATATGACGTGGCTACTGGAGCTATTTATTACATGAGACAAATTTGGAATGAAAGAGATGACACCACATACTAAATACAAACCTTCTGAATACAATCCTACTAAATACAAGTGTTAGCCCAGATTGAATATCGTACCATCGAATATCCAGAGAACCGAAACTCTGAATATTTCCACCCGATTCCATGTCTGTCGAAATAATGAAACACTCGTGGAGAACATGTATTCTAAACTGAAACATCATCAAATGTGCGACATGAATAAGTTTCATATGATTCCAGTAAACCGGAAAAGGACACAGCACTATAACATTTAAAAAAATAAACATGACGTAAAATAATGTACCGAAATGCTTTCGGAAGGTATTGTGACACTAACTAAAGTAAAAAAAAATGTGTCCTTCGTTAATTTCAACTTATTCAAAAATTGTGATCAGCATTTTATATCCTCGTCTTCTGGTGACTGGAAACATTCAAAAATTCGACGAATTGAGCATTTGGCTTCATCTCCTTGATTTTGGTTCAAACATTCATTTTAATATTCCAAATGTCAGAATAACCAGACACGATTTTTTCGATGATCTGACGTGGCAAAAAAAAAAAAAAAAAAAAAAACAACCAATATTCGGATAAAAATAGAAAATCTACATCAGAGTTATGTTATATCTTTATGTAATCCGACTGAACAAAATATCAGACGCCTTTATCAGTCTCATTAATCAAATACTTGTGTTCGTCCCACATTCTCTTTATTCGACTGTTTGGTATAAGAACATGGAAGATTCATCTTCAAAATTTGCAGCTGTTCAGCAAGTTCTACTTAAATATCATGTTCGACAGGAGCTGTAAACCGGACACGCTACAGACTCATTTCAATATCCGAAATGCAGATGTTATCTATAATCAATTTCCGGAGATTTACATTCAACTGAACGACTGAACCGGAAATTGGCTCGGAACTTTTGTTCTCCTCCAACCTCATGCTTCTTTTTTCGCAAACAAAAAACAAAATGCAGGAAGGTGGTGCCAGGTACTTTCGTTTTTGATTGAGTTCGCCACTACATTTTTTGAATTGACACCATTAACTTCGAATTTGAAACCATCATGTTAAGGGAAGGGATTGAAGGAAAGGAGATTCTTTTTTTCAGGAACATCCGATCAGCCTCTTCCACTTTCCAAACCATCTCGAAAAACTCATCAGATAATGGAACTGCTTCCTTAGTACCAATCTCTTAGATCTCAATGTTTCATTGATCTCCCTGCCCTTTTCTTAGCTTTTGTCCACTTCATGCTGATTCTTGGTATCATCACCAAACTTGCCCACGGGATTAGAATCAGAAACCGTGAAGTTTCCATTTTTCTCTACCACCTCTTTGCATTCAATTTCTGCACCAAAGAGCTTTCCATCCCCCACGTCGCCCCGCCCATTTTTCTCTATCTTCCGTCCGAGAGAGACTCCGCCCATTTTTCGGTTCCTTATAAGAACGGCGTCTGAAGCACTACTTTTCATATTTCAGTCCCATTCCTTTGAGAAGTCTCATTCACTTCTCCTTCTTCCATCCCCAAGCATGTTCTCCAGAACTGCTGTTGTCCTCTCTTTCTTGGCAGTCGCCACCTCGGGATTCAGTGTCCGCCCATCGGCCAAGAACACTGTCCAAGATGCTCAAGAGCAGCTCACCAAGAAGATTCGGTGCTGGGAGCCAATCGAGGAGAACATTGCTGGAAACAACTTCTCTGGAAAGCACACACTCAGCGAGCCAATCTACGACCTCTGCTCCTATATGCCGGACCCAAAGAACTGGAACAAAGGATACGTCAACGGTGTCGACATGGACTCTGACGACTACACCAACGTCTTCAACTTCTTCCAAGTCACCCACCCAAGACTTGCCATGCTCAATGTCTGCCTTCAAGAGGTGAGTTACAGAAATGTTAACCTGAAAACAAGATCTCATTTCTTCATTTTCAGGCATTCCAATTCCACGTCGCCGGACGTCCATCACAGACTTCAATCCGTTGTCTGTGCAAGAGAGATGGCTGCAACCTGCCGAAGGAATTTACCACGTTCCTGGACTTCAACAAGCTCCCAATGCCAGAGACTTCTTTCTAAATTGCCCCCTCCCCGTTCACTCTTTTTTTCGTGCTTTCTTCTTGATTCAAACTGACGATACTCCCCCAGTTCATGTTCTCACATGTTTTACCCTGTTGATGTGACCCTCTCCAAGTTTTTCTTCTCCTGACACCGTGATTTTCAAGTTACACCCGAATCGAATAAAGATGAGAAAGTTAATTGAAAATTTAGGTTTTTCCTGGAAAGTTAGATGAGGTTCTGTTGGAGCTCAGAAAGTGCTCTCTGGCTTGAGAAAGTTTCAGCTTAAGGGAACAGGTGCTCAAGTTGTTACTACATTTGAGCTATTTAGACTGTCCTAACATTTTCATCGGAAATGTTACACATTGACGTTGTCAGAAGAGATTTGAGGTCTTTGTCTTGAAAAGTGTACAAAACTGGGAAAAAATATTCCTAGAATCAGAAGTTGTGAATCAGAAATCCGAGCGCTGGCGGATAAAATTCAAGTCGAAACGGAGTTATGATAATTTGAAGGTACCGGAAAAAGATATTCAACAAATAACTTAATTATTTTTCTAGAGTTTTTTCCTTACTCAGAAATGCATCTTATTTGAAAGAATTTTTTAAAAATAAGTGGGAAGTTAACCGTTCTCTGCCTGTCTCGGACTTGAATAAATCGAAAGAACGTGGGACTCCTATGGATATGTGAAGTATGGGTAGTATGTAGACATGGACTATCGGGCGCTTCATGTCTATGGTTCACTGTATTTTATTTTATTTTCGCAATCAGCAAGAGAGAACGTTTCGGAAGCAAAAATTAGAATGAGTCATAAATGAAAACGAATTTTGGAACATTTCAAAATATATGCGAGGGACTGAGAGACCTCTATCATGTGATTTTTTGCATTTTTCCCAGATGTGTTCAGTGATACAGTTCCATGTCTCACGAAGGACTTTTGTTTATTTTTTACAAAATCATCAGCTAGCGTACTTAAAAATGTCGAATTTTTTTTTAAATTTTTAAGTCAATAAAAAATAGTTTTTAAGTCAATAAAAACCCATCCCTTTGAGAAGTCTCATTCACTTCTCCTCCTTCCATCCCCAAGCATGTTCTCCAGAACTGCTGTTGTCCTCTCTTTCTTGGCAGTCGCCACCTCGGGATTCAGTGTCCGCCTATCGGCCAAGAACACTGTCCAAGATGCTCATGACCAGCTCACGAAGAAAATTCGTTGCTGGGAGCCAATTGAGGAGAACATTGCTGGAAACAACTTCTCTGGAAAGCACACACTCAGTGAACCTGTCTACGATCTGTGCTCCTACATGCCGGATCCAATGGACTTCGAGAAATTTCACGTCAACGGCGTAGATTTGGACTCCGACGATTACGCCAACGTCATCAATCTTTTCCAAATCACGAACCCCAGACTGGCCATGATCAATGTTTGCCCTCAAGAAGTGAGTTAAAGAAATTCTGTCCAAAAAAAGATCTGATTTTTTTCTTTTTCAGGGGTCCAATTCCGGCGGGACGAAAAGGCCAAACTTCCATTCGCTGCTTGTGTAAGAGGGAGGGCTGCAACTTGCCGAAGAAGTTCACCACGTGCTTGCAATTCAACAAGTTCCCAATGCCGGAATTATCTTTCTGAATTCACGTTTGAAGCAACCTTACGTTTGCCATGTCGTATCAAGCTATTGATATCCTCCTCCCACACTTCACAATTCACACTACCTGTTTCCCGATTCTTTCTTTTCTCAACTCTTCTGACACCTGAATCTCTGACACTGTGACACTCGAATAAAGATGTGAAAGTATGAAAAAACAAGTTTTCTAGCTGTTTCTGATTCTTCGGAAGCTCGGAAAGAGAACCTTGACTCGGGCAATCTGTTTCAGGTGAAGGGGACAGCTGAGCAAGTTGTGACTACAGAGCTTTGAAATCTTTGGCTTTGTTAATAAGTGTTCTAGAAGAAGAGGACGACAATAGGAAGTCATATTTAGTTGTATTTAGTCAGATCATCGTCCTGGAGCAAAAACCAACAGAATACAAAAATACGAGTTCTCCAGGATTCTAAAAGAAATCTGATCAGAGTTTTGAAATAGCTACAATGTCCGAACGAACCAAACAGATCTTAAGAACCTTCAACAACAAAAACATTATCGTTATCATGAATCGGTCATTTTCAGTCGTGGCGGTTCAGCAAGAGTTCTCCTCTTCACACTCAAGAAAAAGTGATATTCTAGATTGCGAGTGTGTCTAAATTCCAGAGGACCTCCTTTTCCTTGATCTCTAAAGTCTACGATGCTTCGCAATGTTTGTTCTCCAGAAGAAGTGAGAAAGATCAAACTCGAGAATAGGACTCACGACATCAGACACAGTGGAATGTGAATTCTTGTATAAGAGTTCAAGTTTATTTCAACGTCATTTCTATTTTTTAATGTTTCAAGGCATCAGCCTAACACCTTCTTGTGATGTTAGAATCTGATTAGAAGACGATAAGATCAAACGGCGAGTTATAGTCAACCACACCGGCATCTCGGAAACATTTACTATGTTGCTTGTGAAATATCAGAAAAATTTAGAAACATCTGATTCTCGGGAAATCATGTTTACCAGCAGAAAATCTGTTGAGCATGACCTCATTATCACTTCTGAGTCAGTGCTCCAGATGATGAAATTCATATTGACATCATCACTCATTTGCCCAACATTTGTCATGTACAAAAAAACTATATTTGAGAGATCTTTGAGAATTCGATAGACTTTCTTAAAGATATGAAACGATTTCTAACACGATTTCCAATGTTTTAATGTCCTGGAAATTGCTGATCCTTGTTCAATCCACATATTCCGTTTTCGAATTCTTCAGAAAGTGCCGGAAAGTGCCATCCCAAGTTAGGTATTTCACAGTTCAAGAGTATGTCCTAGAGCGGCCCATATTGCGGTTTCATTTGGAACTTTCTAATTCAAAAAACCTGGAAAATGTGAGAAACTCTGGAAAATCGCTAAAGTCGCACATTAAAAAATGAAGGAGATTCGTTGAAAAATTTTCATAGTCCAATTTATACTGAAATTTGAACTTTGAGTTTAACTCTGAAAATTAGTCTTCGTTTGACCGATCCCTCAAGACACAGGAACTCTGCTATTAAGTTTGCCAGCACCAAAACTTTTAATTCATTTGAAAGTGTCCTAAACTTCTTAGAATAGATTGAAAAATGACGTGGCGTCACAATTTTTTATTTCGCTTGGTGGGTGGTTCAACAAAATTTACAATTTCGGGACGCCAACAATACTTGAACTTAAAGTGGAAACTTTTAATTAACAAAACCAAAAAAGAAACAAGGCAAAACGTATTTTTTATCGCTGAAATTTTATCAGAAAATTGAGAAATGTAGAGGAACTATGTGCAAAAAAGACCAAAAACCGTGCCATTTTTCCGAATCCTACAGTAAACTGAGCAAACGAGTTCATAGAGATCATAAAGAGAGGAAATATGTGGGTGATATAGTGACATGATTGTCTACTTTGACTGTAAATATCCACAGGAATGATATTGAACGTCCAGAATCTTTGCGAAACTTCAAAGTAGGCTCAGTGACAATATGAAGTTTCAAACTGGCACGCGGGATAATATAAAACCATTTATCAGCAAGGCATCATCACAATCATACATCGAAGTTCGTGATTTTACACGAAATGAGCTTTTAGTGTTAATGGAGTCTTATTTCGAGAAATCATTCTACGTTTCTTTGTTCAGAGAAATGAATATGAAAACACGACTAGAAGTTTCAGAATCCCTTTATTTTTTATATCTTTATTTTACCGCTGTTTATACCATGAAACATTCTTAGTTCATTTGTCGTTCTGTCATACTGATGTAATGAAAAAGTGCATTTCGTGTTCTCAAAAAGCTCTTGTCATTTTACATATCACGTTTGCGTACAAAATTGTTCATTGAAGTGTTCATTTCCAAATTCCATCATGTGAACAAATCGCGACGTGAAAGCGTAAGATTGGCTATTCTTTGTTTTTCATAATCCTATTGTTTATCACTAGGAAAGTGGTGCGTCATGACTTGAAACAGCTTTGGAGAAACATCACAGATGCTTACTGTACTTGAAGAAGAAATGTGTAAAAGTTTTAAGCATACTTGTAATCCGGGCCTTTGCCGGGCCTTCGCGGGCCCTGCCATAACTTTTTTCAGAATCAATGTTTTTGAACCAACTTAATTAGGTATGATAGAGCTCCACGAGTACTACGAAACGGTATCATTTGGAATACTGTATCTTGTGTATGAACAGAGTTACAGAGCAAAAGGAACAAAAAAAGCAGGCCCGGCCCGGGCCTGCCGGGCCCTGCGAGAAAAGCCACTTTATGATCTGTACCTTAGTTAATAGATAAGATACCGTATTCCAAATAATACCTTTTTGTAGTACTCGTGAAGCTCTATCATATCTAATTTAGTTGGTTCGAAAATATTGATTCTGAAAGAAATTATGGCAGGGCCCGCCAAGGCCCGGCAAAGGCCCGGATTACAAGTATGCTTTTAAGGTTTCTAAATTGACCGGAAGCTTATGAAAGTAAGACAGCGATACACATTAATAAAAAATAGCTGGACCCACATAATGCAAGCCTACAAAACAAAAACCTAATAAAAACAAGTGTTTAATCCGATTAAATATTGTATCTGGGATTCGAAAATTAAAAAACTTTTCCTACATTTTATTTTTTTTTTGCATGTTTCCTCAAACGGTAACTACAACTGACACGTATTACAATGTTTTTTCGCCCTTTATCAGATACTGAAATGTACAGTAAACGCAAACCGTCATGTTTCTGTCAATGCTTGCGCCGGAACTTTCATTTCACACTTTTTGAGAAACAACAAAAATGAATCATCGCTATTCCTCTGCCCAACTCTTACGCAAAATGCAGAACGTCATTTTCCCTCTCAGGATGCTTACTGAATAGTGTCCCCAAATTTTCTTATGATTTTTCTGAACTTTCAACGTTCGAGAATTGCTATTCTATAATCTTATTTATTCATTTCAATGTGTATCAGTGTTAGACCAACTCTCAGGTATGCTTTAATAGAGTTTTTTGGCAATTCTCTGAAAAATCTAGCAATACATATAAAGAATATTCACGAATCTTCCCCGAAATATTATTAAAAGTTCTCCGAAGTTGGCAGGCATTCATAAATTAAACTTTTTTGTGTACTTCCGGCCTTTAGTCTTCACCTCGGAGACATATTGGAGACTCACATTTTTGAATTGTCAAAATTTCGTATTTTGTTAACTCGCTGTTCAGTTTCCCATCAATTTTAAACATGGTTAAAAAATGATAGTCGTTGATATTGGTTTTAAACTTCGATACACGTGTTGAGAATTAAAAGGTTTCGAAGGGGTTGATATGAACTAATATTCCAATTTCCAAACTGTAAAGGATATTAATATCCTTTCAGGGTGATTTCACATTACCATATATTTCCCCACCAGGTCATAATCCCATTTCCGCATTCCCATAGGGAGAGCACAAAGTCCAACACAGTCACGGGTGATAAGAAATTCCAGCGGGAAATCCATTAGACGACACACAGGCTGAAACACCACATTCCCCTCTCAGCGCCTCCGTTCTGTATACACACTCTAACATTGATATTTCAGATCGTCCCGCCAGCTCCTGGAATGCCATCACATCATCGGCCAGCAGCTCCGTCCCACACCCACTGGAACGATCCAGATAAATACCCCCCCCCCCTCTCGCTTAATCGAGGCCTTTTACTTTGTATTCTTGTCTTAATATCTTTTTGGTCTTAGACCAGTTTAAATAAACCTTTCGTTAAATCCACCCAAGCGTTGAACCTTCACTCAACGAAGAAATCCGGTGGCAAAAGTTTCGCATATGGAATGAGATACAGGCTATGGTAAAGCAAAATTGAAAATAAATTCTTTAAATAGAATTGCACGGTACGTACTTCCAGAAGAAATGGAGTTCAACTGCTACATCAAAGTTTTACCATAATTTTGAAAATATTGATTCTCAACCCTATATGTTCCTTATAAGTTAGAAGCACCAAAACATTATAGACATGAAAGGTATATTACTCCTCGCCATCGAAAAAGACGAGCTATTTTTCTTATTTTATACTTTTTCAAACTTATTGTTATTATTTTTATCTATATCTCTCTATTTTTTCTTTATCTCTTCTTTTAATAAAGGTTTAATTAACCAAATTGGAGGTTCGTGCTACCAACTACAGCTAAAGAGAAAAAAAGATTCTGAAAATTTATCGTCTTTTGATAAATTTTTGATGACCCTTTAATGTTTCCGACGAAGAAGCGCCAAAACTTTCGATTAAATTAAAAGTGTCCAGAATCATTTCTTGGAATAATTGAAAATGTGGCGTGGCGCCACAATTTTTCAATTTTGCTTGGTGGGTGGTTCAACAAAATTTACAATTTCAAGACGCCAACAGCACTTGGAATTAAAATTTGAAACTTTTAATTAACAAAACCAGAAAAAGAATCATGACGAATTGTTTAAGATAGGTTGCTAAATTTCTTATTGTGAAAGTTCCATCACAACTTTGAGATGTGGAGGAATCCAATGTGCAAAAAAAAACTCAAAAACAATTTTTTTCAGAAAAACTGAGCATCAAGTCTATAGAAATAAAACCGTTCTCAGTACCAACTCGAAGCGTAATATAATTGACACACAGCTTCGGCTATCGAATTTTAGTATTTTTTGTGAGAATGCACAAAGCAGCTATCGTAATCTAGTGGAACCGCTTGGATTTCCATACTATGTCTATCTCATTATTTGTGTTCCAGTTTGATGAACTTTTTTCACTTCGCTGATAAGGTTTCTAAATTTACCAAACTTAACGGAAGTAAGACAACGGTGCACATTTTCAATAAAAGGAACCGCAAGACATACTTAATATAAACACGTGTAGAAAATCTTGTTTTGAAACTCGCGGCCTAATGTTAGTTAAGCATACTATCGAATTTTCATAAAACCGAAATCCCTGAACAAAATCCTTTCACCACATTACCTACCTATAAAAACAATGAGCTACTCGTGGAGCACCTGTGGTATATGCTAGGCTGCAACGCCATCAAATGTATGACTCGAATAAGTTTCATCTGATTTCATTCAACCGGAAGAGGTCACATCATTATCACGTTTTTTTTGAAAAAAAATGATGACGTAAAATAATGCATCAACACTTTTCAAAATGTTCATTTTCATATGTAATTGGATTTTACTCACTCAGCCTGAGTCCATTTAAGAATAAGGCAAAACACAAAGATTATCATCGAGGAAGACTTTGAAGACTCCTATTCATGTGTGGTTCGAGAAGCCATTCTTTATTCGAACTACCTCTACAAATGATATCAGTCCTGACTGATAAACAAATTTGAAAGAAAAACAGTGAGAGAAAAGTCGTGAAAATCGCCTCCAGAAGACATAGAAACGTTTTGAGATCATGATCTGCACTTCCTTCAACACAGAGGCATGGGAATCCGAATTTTTCATCCATGGGACCCTAAGATAACTTTTGGGTCTCAAAATTTTTTATATACATCATTCAAATGTCCTCGTCCCAAATGTCAAAAACTGAGAACCGATATTCGATTGAAAATAGAACATGTACATCCGGGTTTCCGGATTAGAAATGTATCTTGCTGTAATCCGATTTAGCGAAACTAATATCAGACACCCTTATAAGTCGCTTTAACCAGATTCTTGTGTTCGTCCCACATTCTCTTCAATCCGACTACATGGCACAAGACCATAAAAGATTCAATTTTCAGAATTTGAAGTTGTTGAGCAAGTTTTACTAGAACATGACGTCCGAAGGTGCTAAACAACGGAAACAACAGATCCATTTCAATATCCGGAATGCCAGCGTGAGCCACAAACAATTTCCGGAGATTTCCCTTTAACCAAATAGAATTTATTTACACGTGAAATCAAACTATATTTTTTCGGGAAGCTGAACATTTGCAAAATACAAATTATTGTGGCAATTGATTCAATTATGCGCATAAAATGTACCAGTTTTTGTCAAGAATGCAAACTATTTTGTTGCCTAATTATGAGAAAACAGGACTTTTCCATGAATTCATGAATCTTGAAAATCAGAAAATGCAGCATTTCAGAGGCTCATAAAACTGTGAACCGTTGTCAGTATTTTCATTAAAAAATTTTGATAACCTTTTTTCAGAATTCGTGCTGTATACATGTTTTCAATACACATTATTTTTATAGGTTACCCAAACATTATTGTCTCTTTGTTTCAGGTGAGCTCTTTATCATATACTAATTCTACTGCATCACTGAGCAAGTTATGCCGGTGCTGCGTTGTTCCTATGACATCAGATTATATTTCTAGTCTTTCATAAAAAGCATAGAAAATGCCCCTGACAAACCCGAGTACCCCCGCCCGCCCCTGTTTTCTCTATCTTTCGCCTAAGACTCCGCCCACTTTTAGCCTCCCTATGAGGACAGCGTTCTGAGCACTACTCTTCATATTTCAGTCCCATCCCTTTGAGAGGTCTCATTCACTTCTCCTTCTGTATCGAACTACCATGTTCTCCAGAACTGGAATTCTCGTCTCTTGCTTTTTCATCGCCACTTCGGGCTTCAACGTCCGCTCGTCGGCGAAGAACACGATCCAAGATGCTCATGAGCAGCTGACCAAGAAAATCAAATGTTGGGAGCCGATCGAGGAGAACTTCGCTGGAAATCATTTCTCCGGAGAGCATCGACTCAGTGAGAGAATCTACGATCTGTGCTCCTACATGCCGGACTCAAAGGACTCAAACAAAGGATACGTAAATGGAGTGGACACGACTGGTGACGACTACACCAACGTCCTCAACATCTTCCACACCGCCGGACAAGGATACGCAATGCTCAATGTTTGTCTCCAGGAGGTGAGTTACAGAAATTTGCTCCAGAAAAAGTGGTCTCATTTATCGAATTTCAGGCTCTCCAAATCGGACGCTCAACCCAGGTCGCGATGAGGTGTATGTGCAAGAGAGATGGCTGCAACCTGCCAAAGGGACTCACAACATTCCTGGACTACAATAAGCTCCCAATGCCAGTAACATCGTTCTAAATCCACGTGGTTCTTCAATGTTACTTTTCTTTCCTTTCTGTTTCGATACTCCCCCACCCCATTCTCATTTCCAAAAAGTGTTTTTTGTTTGCCGAAATAATGAAAACATCATCTTGCTCTCACATGTTACACTACCTATTTCCCAATTCGTTTTCCCCAACCCATTTGACTCCCAACTTTTTTGACACCGCGACATTTGAATAAAGATGAGAAAGTTAATGAAAAAGCTGGTTTTTTTTTCATGGAATAGAGTTGATTCAGGTTTTCAGGAGCTCAGAAAGAGAACATTTCATTGGAAGTCTTTTTGGGAAATCGGCTTCAGATGAAAGGAGCTGAACAAGTTGTCTAACTACAGTGTTTGAAACTGAAAACTGGTATAACGTGAAGTCAGCCTAACACCTTCATGTGGTATTGGAGCTTGATTTGAGGATGACAAAATCAAACGGCGAGATTATCAAACTTATGACATTTTCAATGTTTCAATATTGGCTGCCTACTCCATTTCTCGAAATTGTTTGTCATCGTACGTTCAATGTAAGTATTCTACTTTGAGAAGTGCCATTTCGAGTCGGATTCGAGTCGGAGGCGCCTAAAAATTAGAATTTCTCCTTCAAAGTTAGAAGTTTAAAATATTCCTAAAGTTTTAAAAACCGGAATAGTCCAAGATTCCGAAATTTGGAAATTATGTAATTGAGAGTATTCTGAAATTCCAAATTTCCGAAATTCTGAAAATTGGAATTTTCGACTTTCCGAAAACTTCTGAGAAGGCCATTCACCCAATCACTGAAAACAAATCAGTATAAAAGTCTTTTGTTTTTTCCGTGTCTCTGAGAATCCAGTTCATGAAAACAAGCGACACAAAGAAGCTTGATTACAAACCGAAACGAGAGTTACATAAGAAAAAGGCGGCACGATGCTTCTAACATTACGTCCTCCGGCGGAAGTGGCGGCAAACCTATACAAAGACAAGACCTGCGGAAAGAGGTTAAGGAGGTTAATTGGGGTAGATTGAAAGAGCAATTATGTAAGAGTGGTCAATAAAAAATAGAGAGGCTTTAGCGGTACGCATGCCACAAGAAGCGGAGTGTCTGAAAGCTATTATATAAGGATCATTTAATTATGAGCATTTAATTCACATTTAATTGTAATCCTCCATCTGTTTCGGTGTCCATATTTCCACTACCTTAACAAGACAGTCCCGATATGGGCGAAGTTAGGCATAGGTCAAAAGAGGCGGAGTTTAATGTCTGGAAGCCACTACAGGGTGGTCCGAAAGTATGGTAACACAAGTTTAGTGTTTAGTGATCTTCAATGATTTTATATCTATTATTTTCAGCATGTCTTAATTACCTTATTCCCAAATTTTCAAGTCTTTAGGTTGATCTTCATACGAATGGTGACTAATTCTTTGCACCTAGGCACCCTCGTCGAGAAAGCCAATAGGGACGTTGGACAAGTAGCATTGGAAAAGTTCTCGGAATCTCACGAACAACCGTGTGAAGAACCATAACATGGTTTGATCAGTTGAATACAGTCAAGATCCTTCTGAAAAAAGTAAAACCTTGAACTTTGGTTACTCCGGAGAGAATCAAAGCCGTCAGAAAACGAGTCCGTCGAAATCTCAGAAAATCATGAAAACAATGAGTCTGGAGCTGTGATTGAGTAGTAAATAGGTTAGATTAATCGTAAAAAGTGAGCACAGGTTGACCTTATATCGTGTTCAAAAAACTGGAATTCTGTCGAGAAATAACAATCTGGTACGCATCCAGAAGTGCTAACCTCCATTTGTTGGCACGCGCCAAAATGAACACATAAGGATGATGTTCAGCGACGAGAAACTCTAAATGGTGGATGCCGAATCCTTTTCAAAAAACCATCGTGTTTTTTCTCCGAGATCTGTGCTATCTAATGATCATATTAACATGCCCAACAGAGCTACCTATTCTTAGAACGACGTCGTTTTTAATGCAACAACCTTCAAATGCTGATTTTTGTAGATCTTGGGGTGAAAATCGAGTATGAGTACTAGTAGGAGGAGTATGAGAACTAGTCGAGTATGAGTACTAGTAGTAGTATGTGCTTCCGTGGACCAAATGCTATTATAAAAACCATGTTTGGACTGTTCAACAGGATTCTGCTCTCGTCTGCGAGGCGAAAATCGTTCCACCAGGTTGCATGGCCAACTTTTTCAAGATTCAGCACGACTGGCGAACGGCCAGCCACGCCGGCATACATGAATCTGCTGGACTATTCCGTATATGGAATTTTTCAGTAAAGAGTCCGAGCACATCCACAACCCAATTTAAAGTCATTGGAAAAAAGTTCGGACTTAGAATGGGCTAAGTTATCCCCAAAACACCCCCGTGCCACAGTAGATGCGTTATCGAATAGACTCATGGATTTCGTGAAGAACAAAGGCAACCGTATTTAACAACTTTCATAATTTTATTTTTAGAAAGTATTCAGTAAACTATTGTCAAATTTTCAAGTCTATTCGAGTATTTTTGGAGAAGTTACATCACTAGGAATGTGTTACCATACTTTTGGACCATCCTGTATAAAAGGAGCGTTCATATATTTATTCCTCATTCATTCTCAATAACGGCTTGAAAGCAACGATCCGCTCTCATGGTGTTGTGACGTAATGAGAATGTTCTCACAAGCAACCGTGTGTAGGAGGCTAATTTTTATTTTTCTGAATATCTAATGTATTCCTTTCTATTTTAAAATTGATAACAAAGGTGAGTTCTACTCAACATACGAAGCATAGTTGATATATCAAACATAGAATTATATTTTAGGATCGATTCCATGGGAAAATACTTGTAAACTTGGTATTTCCGAAAGACCTTCTGAGTGCCAAACATGTGGACGCAGGTATAAACAAAGGAGATATCTGTGGCCCCATGAACAGAAGCACTTAAGGAAAAATCTTCCACAGTGAATATGAGGTGAGTCTGTAAACACCAAAAATGTGGAAGGAGAAAAAGAAAAATGTTCCAGAGAGACCATCACGGGCTGATGAGGGCCATCAAACGTCTCAAGGAAGTTCAGAAACTCGCAGAGAGTGCCTGGAGGAATTTGGCAATTTGAAGCAATTTGTGATACATTTTTCTTCAAAACATGAGATTGGAACAGTGAGTGTTTTACTTTTTTAGATTCTCAAAATTGTAAAAAAGGGGCGGAGTCTATGTTTTACAACTGATGAGATTGTCTGGATTTTTTGACTTTTTGAAAATTCCAGATCTCTGAAAATTTTCAATTTTCAGAACGTCCCAAGCTTCTCTTAATCTTCTGCATTCATTAATCTCCACGCACCATAAAATGCCTTGAATTTTGGCAAACTTCTTGGAAATTCTACGGTGGTGTGATAGTTAGGATCAATTAAAAGAAAACCGATTTTTTTCACATGGAAGCTGAACCCAACGTTTTTGATAAACCCACTACTACCAACGGTTCAAGATTTGATGAAATGCGATTTGGAACAAGTAGGCAGACGATAATCGGCGACTAAGTTTCTGAAACATTGGTTGGCTGGAGGAATGCCACGTATGAAATATATCATTATAAAAAGTGAGTTTTGATAGAAAATCGTCAATTCACACATTTTGCAGCACATTTGGATATGAATTCGAATTTGTTGGGGGCTACAGTATCCAGAGACAAGACCGAATAAAAGCAACAATCAACTTTCAACATGTTTCTTTTCATAGCATGTGAAACAATGATTCAGTTGAGAAATGGAATTAATTTTTGATAAATGTAATGAATATTTTATTCTAACCGTTATATCCTTCCATTGTTTTCCAATTGTGTATTCGAAAAAAATAATTAAGTGTACAAAATTTGAAATTGTCAGTTTTTCCGGATAAATAACTGTTGGATAGTGTAATTCGGAGCATAAAACGCTGGGAAAAAACAACATTTGTTCCAAAATTGTTTACAATGTTAATAAAAATGATTCATTCTACACAGAGTGTGTTAAGAATCGTATTCTTTGTCAAAATAACCTGCCTGTTTGCCGCGTTTCCAGCACTTCAAACGTCTGGCGTTTTTTTTCTGACTGTGTGGCTGATGTCAGGATTTTCGGTAAACGTTCGTTTGAAAATTTTAATTTGAGTGATACTAGATGACTGGGAATGTATTTCTCTGATTTGTTTATACTCGTGTTGATATACGCTAAAAAACGTCTTAAATAGTCCGAAACAGTTATTCTCAATTTCCTGAAGTTTAGAATTTAAATGCCAGTTTTAAAATTTCCAATGAAGGTATGTTTGAAGATTCTGAAGGAAATGGTCATGGATACCTGGGAATGAATTTTAGGCGTCTCAAAACATTTGTGGGGACTCTGAAAACTATAGGAAATCTTCAAAAAATTACTAGGGACTCGGATTTGTATTAGGAAATGCACAAAAAAAACTGATGTAATTTCACTTAAAAACTTGAAATTAATTTTTGTAAAACTTTTTTTCATTATTCTAATATCGAATTAGCCTTATATGTAACATCAGATTCCAAAGGTAAACAAAAAGTATAAAACCGTTTTTTGATAATTTTCAAAATCTCTGAAATTTCAAAAAATACAAATTCGAAATTTGACAAAAGTCTAATACTCAAACTTTTGAGAAAGATGTTTTTCTTAGATAACCTTTAAAAAAATGTAATAAAAGGGGTAATATCTTCATTCATGAATCTACAGTGCGGTCAATATCTATACGGCACCCCTCTGTTTTGGACGCAAAGAACAAACTGGAAGAGAAATCAAAAAACTGTTAACGACATTCGATTCACATTCAAAAAGAACTTCTAGAGACGAAGTTTCATGATTTTAACGCTTTTCCTGAACATGTACCATCCAGAAAACCCATTCGCAAGCGGTCAATATCTACACCCTGAAAAAATGAAAAATCTCATGTTTTCTACAGACCAAAATTGAACGTTTTTTGTTGGAAGCTGTTAAAATAGTCCTAAAACAACATATTTTGACAGTTCATACAAAAATTGATTCCTCCAATCAGGTTTTAGAAAAAAAATTTTCAGACATTTTAATAATTTTTTGGGTTTTTGGAATGATTCTTGAATAACTTGGCTCCTGGGTAAGATTTTGAGCTGAAAATGATAGGAAATACTTTTGCAGTAGTTTCAATTATGTAATAACTGTTGTTATGCTATTCTTAGCCGTTGTTTGTGATTAAAGCTGAACTGAAATTTGAAAAATGGACCTTGAAATTCGGAGATTCTGATTTTTGTGAAAAACTTGATTTTACGATTGAAATTTAATTTCCAGCACAAAATAACAGTTTTCATAGCAATTCAAATCACTTAGAGCATCTTTCAAACGTTTTGGACAGCGTTGAAAATTTTTCAATTGACTATTTTTTTTTCAGTTCAAAACTCGAGCTCAATTTCAATTATTTTTTTTTCTAAAACTTGATTGGAAAAATAAATTTTTGTATGAACTGTCAAAATATGTTGTTTTAGGGCTATTTTAACAGTTTTCAACAAAAAAGTTCGATTTTGCTCTCTAGAAAACATGAGATTTTTCATTTTTTCAGGGTGTAGATATTGAACGCTTGCAAATTGGTTTTTCGTGTGGTACGCGGTCAAGAAAAATAGTTAAAAATGTGCAACTTTGTCTCCTGGGGTTATTTTTGATTGTGAATCGAGTGACCGTTTTTGATATCTCTTCCAGTTTTTTCTCTACGCCCAAAGTAAGGGGTGTCGTGTAGATATTGACCGCACTGTAGTGCTTCTTTTAAATGTTGACGTTCTATCTTTTTTAATTCACCTTTCATTTTTTTGTGATAATACAAGCGATGAGTTCCCTATTCTTTTTTAGTGTTCTTTTTTTAGAGTCCGATATTCTTCTTGGGTCCAAAAAAGCAATTCTGAAAACTGAGTCCCCAATGTTTATTCTGGTGTTGGTTTTTTTCGTTCTCATTTTGTGGTTTCTAGTTCCACTCGAACTAATTGAGAGCACCGCAAAAATGTGATCCGACGTTGTACGCATTTCCAACATGACGCCATTTAATGTTTTCGGAACTTCGCTCACGTCAGCATAATTTGGTCCAGTTCAGAACATTGAGAAGATGAAAAAAATCTTTCAATAATTGGAAATTGTGGTAATATTCTTGAAGAAACTTTTTAAAGAACCTTTTCCATACCCTCCGACCTATTCAAAACATTGGAGATATTTAACCTAACTGAAAAAAAATTGTGCGATTTATGACAGGAATTCCGCTTTTTCGAAATTCCCACAATAGCTGAATGTCAATCACCGAAAATCAGTTTCGATGTGTTTACTCAACCGGATATATCCATGGACGGTCAACGCTGCCCTCATCTCTTTTTTGAACTCCCCTTGAACAAGATGCTTTTCTGATAGAAAACGTTGTAGAACAAAAACCGAATATCAGAATTCCGTTTCCTAAAACTTAGAACAATCTGAGTATCAATATGTAATGCCGATTGGACATACGTTGAACAATTGTATACTATATCGAAATAAAATGTTAATTCAGTGGATTTGGAGCTTTCAATAGTTTAAAACTTTTCAGACAAATGCAGTTCCGGCAACAAGTTTATCAACATTACCTATTTTCAGTGAAAAATAAACAGTTTTAAATGTCTAAAAAATATAGTAGACTTTCCCGGCAGAACATCTCACTTCCATCGTTCCAAATTGTCATCATTCTGAAAACAGTACTGTCTTCAGATATCTTTACATAAATGCTGACGATTCTGTATTACAGTTAACAATGTCAGCAATAGTGAGATTTGTTTTGTCATTATCATCGTTTTCTGGAAGGGGCGGGGCGTAGAGTGCATATATAAACGAGACAGTTCCCTCGAAGGCATTCATTCTCCATAATGACTTGAGAGCGACGAGCCTCTCTTATGATGTTATGAGAATGTTTTCACAAGCAACCGTCAGATAGGATGCTACCCTTTATTTTTCTGAATGTTCAATTTACTCCTTTCTGATTTCAATTTGTACAAAAAACATGCTCCCAAGTTACAATTCGAGACTATTCGCTGCCACCTAGGAAGTATATGTTCCGATGGTAGCTGCCCAAATATCTGTGATGAGCAAGAAGGCGAAAAATGGAAAGGAACTCGAGCCAACGAAACCCAATGTCGAAATCAAGGAGACCCGAGGAAAAGGAAAAGGGCTGTATGGCACAAAGTTCATGGAAGCTGGATCCTTTGCAATTCTTTTCACAACCGATCACACTTCGGAGGAGGAGAAGATGAGAAGATTCGAGATGTATGGATCCAAAATGATACCAACTTATTTCTTGGATTCTGGAAACCACACTGTTTTTATGTATTTTTATAACTGGAAAAACTAATAAACCTTTCAAATTCAATACGTTTCTAAGTTTTCAAAATACATTAACCATTTTTTTATAATCATTCTTCTAATCATCCTATAATCATTCTCTAGTTAATCATGCCGGACACGCGGCAAACAGGCAGGTTATTTTGACGAAGAATACGATTCTTAAAACACTCTGTGTAGAATGAATCATTTTTATTAACATTGTAAACAATTTTGGAACAAATGTTGTTTTTTTCCCAGCGTTCTATGCTCCGAATTACACTATCCAACAGTTGATCCCAAAATTTATTTCACCAAAAAAAACATTTTGGAAAAGCTCAATCCTCAATGTTCGTTCTGGTGTAAGGTTTTTTCGTTTTCACTTTGAGGTTCCACTTGTTCCACTTGACCGATTTAAGAGCACCGAAAAAAATTTCAATCCGTAGTTCTGAGAATTTTTAACACGACGACATTGATTCAATTTTTGAAACTTCACTCAGCAAAATTAGGTACAATGAGAAGATATTCACACAAATTGGAAACCCGTGATAATATGATTAAGTTTCATGTAGCATTGTGAGAAGCCAGGTGATGACGTAATAGAAACATTTTTCCTTTGAAAAGATCTCATTTATCATAGTTCAAAGAATGTTTTTCTAAATTTCTTTTCAAACCCCTCATCCACGTTCAACACATTGCGAATATTCGGCCGAACTAACAAAAAACTTTGTACGATTTATGACAGGAAATGCGCATTTCCGAAATTTTCACATGAGCTGAATGTCAACCACCGGAAATTAGTTTCAAAGTGTTTCACGCCATCGGATATAGAGATGAACGGTCAACTCTGCCCCATTTTCTTGGACTCTATACGAACAAGATGCATTTCTGAAAAAAAAGTGTAGGAAAATAAACAGAACGTTTTTGAGTTCCTTTTCCTTTTTTTCTCTCTACGGAAATCTTTGAATGAGCGCGATTCAGAAATTAATACTAAAAACTGCAAAAAACCAAGATCGTTGTGTTTTTTTGATATTTCTCTCTTTCAAAATGGGCTCGCTTGCTCCTGATGGATTCGTTCTCCTCACATGGTTACCAGCAATTTTGTTGCCTCCTCCGCCTTCATTTGAACGGCAACATTGCCTGCAGAAACATAGAAGGAAAGTGGAAATCCAGAAGACTGCGGAAACCCAGAACATCTGAAAAATGTCTAATTAGACGGATTGAAAAAAGAGTTGGAAAAAACGAGATCGAGGGGATTAAAAAGTGTGGAATGGGAACGGCAAATAAAGGACACTCGGTGACCTTCTTATAAATTGCTTTTTTTCTGACACAGAGTCGGGTAACCGCGCTGGCTGCCAAAGGAACCAGGGTTGCGACGGGCCCCTAANAAAATACTGGATGCTTTGAATAGTTTATGCGATCGTTTAATCCATTTTTTAATCATATGGCTCATGGATTTTGTAAAAATATCCCAAAAAAAATAAAGGCGTAAAAAGAACTGTGTTTCAAAAAGGACCATTATCAGAATACCGTAAAACCCTTAAAAGAAGGGCCCCACATTGCCAAGGTCCAGCCCGTTTATCTCAATTCCTATGCAAGATATCAAAAATATTTCAACTGACAAAACACTTCTGATATTATGATCCACAATTTATCAGTA